AAGCTCAACAAAAATAGTTGGCTTTTTCAATTGTACCTTTTTTAAAAAAAAATCTCTTTTATTTATCGGTGTACTAATAGACAAAAGTATATTTGATTTCTTCATTTATTATAGATACATACCTATGAGACCAAAAAACTGTTTCGGAAAATTTTATAACATTTATGTTAAGAAACATTTATTTAAATAAACTTGTAACGTAAAATATTATCTAAATACAAATTTCAATGTCAAAATTATTAATTTACCGCCCTTTCTTAAGGACGTTGTTATATTTTAAATAGACATTTTGAAACTCTTGCGTTAAAACTTTCGACCAAGTTATTCATAATATTTTATGCAAAACCGTAAGCATGTACACACAGCCTATGTGCCAAATCGATAATTTTTGAAATACTCCAAAAGCAAACATTTCGGGAACAAAGTTGTCAGTTAGGGCTGTTTCGGCAAAAAGTAGCATAGCGACTGTGATCATCAAATATATGGAAATCTTTTTTTATATTTTGGATATCTTTTTTATTTTTCGATCTTTGTCGTGAATGGTATATTTTATGAGGCTAGTATTTTATTCAACGATCAATTCTCCAACGCAAGGGCAAATATTTTTCTTTTGAGTTTTGCTTTTATATGTTTATTTACACAACATGTTTGTTAAGTCTCAGGAGGGTTTTACAACAATTCCTCAATAGATGGTTCTTGCATTTTATTTTACCAACTGTAATATTATCGTAAGGTCGGGTATTTCTGATACAAGCATAGGTACTCTGTTACTAGCATCTCTAACAGCAATCAAGTGTGAATATATGAGTCTGTGATCAAGGGCATTTTGAAACCTTCAGTTATTATAGCAGGTACACAAAAGTTCTTGAACACTATGATGTGTTGGCTCCAAACCTTTGCTCGCTGATCGGGAACAAGCGACGCATTTATTTTTTACCCCACAGTAAGAAACTTTTTAAAAGTGTGTTTAGTTTGTGCCGTATGAACGTTTATTTCAATATGCATCCGCAATCGCGGCTATCATTGGCGTACCTTGATACGATTGATTATATAAATATAGATAAGTTTTGCTTGCTCGACTTTTTCTTTCTCAGGCGCTGTCATATAATGCTTTGCCATTTATTCCCGCCATTGGCAAACTAGAATTTGTTTTGCCTCATACAACCTTAGAGTTACTTTTAAAATATTCATAGAAATATAATAAAGCAACACACAAATGTTAAAAAAGATGTTCTTCTAACATATTAAGCTATTATTATATTAAATTAACTAACATACGTTGTAACATTCGTTTTATTCACAGCATTTTCATAAAAATGTCACATGGTTTGAATTTTTTATTTCTCCTGTAAATAACCTAAATCGAAATATATTTTTCTTAGGGTGTTTCGTATTGATTGTAACTTTTTGTGATTGATTTTAAATATATAAGCTTCGAAATTGATGCCTACCAAAAGGGAAATTAAGAAAACCTCCGTTTAGTTATCTTGATAGAATACACATATACTTTATTAATCATAGAATACTATAATACACAATAGAATGGCCATCAACCTTATTTTGTACGAGGATAGGCGTCGCCGGGAGCACACATATAAGCAATTACGTCGTATTATCACTACTACAAACCCAATTTGCTGTGTTGACACTTGATAGACCGAGCGAATTTACACATTTTACACTTTTGATTAATGTTTTTGACAGATCAATATTTCTTTATTTTTGTTTCTAATATTTACAAAATATAAATAGTTTCGACTTACTAGTTGCAGGATATGTGTCCTTTTTAAAAAAAAATCCATTTCCTGCAGTTCTTTCGACACGTAATTACTGCACAATTTGCCATTTTTGAAGTAATTTGCATGCAGAGACGCTTGACAATTGGAAATTGAAAACGATTGATTGTGTTGACATTTATACGTGTGAATTGACATGTTAGTGACATGTTGGTGGCTACACGGGCTCCGCCCACTGCCCCGTTATTTATGTATGTATTATAGTATTCTATGGTATTAATATAAATAAAATCCCTGCTAACTATTTAAACGACAAAATTTAATAAAGTTATAAGTAGTTAATATGTGTGGAAGGTAATCGGTTGACGGACTTTACCAGGTTTGAAAAGTATTGTTTTGAGCCAAACAACGCTTCGAGCGTATATACGTCCTTAAAAAAAGCCTCATTATTTTTCTACTAAACCTCATCTCGTACGGTCCTACCCAAGCACATTATTATTAGTGAGGTTGATTCATTACCAGTGAGCTAATCATGAGAACTCACTGTTGAACGTAAGCGTCCCCAACTCTCGCAACTTTACCAGAGTCAATTTGTCAAATTTATTTCTACTAAACTACTACTTGTTGCCACGCTTGCCAGGCGGGCAAATGTGGTAATCTTTGGTGTGGCCTATGTTCAGCAGGGGATTTTACTTTAATATAACTCATTTACGGATTTTATCGCATTTAATTTAAATTTTTTTAATTCTAGACGCTTCGGGTACTTTATAGCCTCCATGGTCACTCCCGTGACGTGTAAATTACTTTTATTCCGTATGTATTTTTTTATTATGTGCGAGCAGCTATGCCGGTCTAGGGAAAGAGACCAGTATCACTGCGACCTAAAAGTCTATTGTGATCGCTGCTATGGCTATAGTTCACTGCTAAGCCCTATGTCTTCAATGAATAGAAGGAGTTGCTTAGCTGTGAGCAATTTTATTTCTTCTGGGCGTAGTACATAGTTTTCCCAGATGAGTGTTACGTTTACACGCTAAGGGTCCACAATCAGTTAGATGTGCAGAGGCGTTTCTTCCGTTATGGAACAGAACCGACATAACCTTGAGTTGCTTAGTCCCAGGATGGACATGTGCTTTTTAAGATAACAGTGTCCAGTTAAGGCTCTTGCCAGAATGCGCAATTTCCGTGTGTAAGTACTCGCGTAAATATAAGAAATCATTAGGCTGTTATGGGTAACGGAAGGTACAACGAAAAACACGTATAATCATCATTACAGCCCCTTACAAATTCACTGTTGAAAATAGACCGCCCCCATATAATGCCTCAGGCAAGAGCTATCCAGATATATAGTATTCATTAACTGCCTCGTGTTTGATAGGGTTGTCACTTCATATTGCATAACGGTTTTATTGCAATTTAATTTTAGGGAGCCAAAGCTTTAAATAAAGCAGCTATATTATGGTTGCAGCACGAATGGGCCGGCTCGACCGGGGAAGGACCACGCTCTCACAGAATACCAGCGTAAAATGCTGTTGTGTTTCGTATGGTGAGTGTAGAGAACCGGAGACCCTTTTTACTCAAAACGAGGCATTCCATCGAAGTCCTCAGGGGTGACAGCGTATCTGCGTTTTGATTCTTAATCAAGGATAAATGTAGATGTCTATGGACAACAGCATCCACTTACCATCAAGTGGACTGTGTGCTCGTTTGTCACCCGTATTCTATAAAAAAAACCGTAAAACCGGCCCACTTCCTTATGAAATCTCAAGCATTTCTTCTACTACTTCTATTATCAAATATAAAAAAACCTGTCCTAAGCCTTGATACATTTCTAATTGAGAAATGTTACTACTAAATTAATAAATATTTATGCAACGCATCAGTAGGCAGATGATAATGATATTGCATATATAATTTTTAGCACGTTTGTATTAAGTTACTTTCTTGTTTGCCTATCGTACTGGGTGGAGTCTTGCAAGTCAAACTTCGAGCACTTCCCGTTGAGCTAGAGACTTCAAATTTTGAACAAAACTGAGAATCGGGTTAAATTTTTTGAGTGTAAAATTTAAAAAACTCACTTGTTTTTGATATTCGATTTGACTAAATATTTTAAATATCATAACCAATTATTGTATAATTTTGTTTCATCGTATTAACTACCAATAAAGTTTATTGATGTGGAATTTATATGAAGCATTCTAATATAACATTGATACCACGGTGAGGACTGTATGATAATTTTTTAATAGTTTTTTTTTATTACAGTTTTTAAAATATTGTATATTCAAAATATAAATTAACAAAACAATTATATAAGTGAACAAGTTAATTAACAAGTGAATTACATCGACTCCACCGAGTCAGTAATTCATTCTTGGGGCGTATACGCTTTTACAACAAAAATCCCAGAAAATATACAAAATTTGTCATACGCAAAGTTCAAAAATTTTATTGAACTAAGTTTGTATAAAAAGGGTTATTATAATATTAAGGAATTTATGGATGATAGTAACCCCTGGGAAGGGTGATCGCTACCAAGCTATTTCTAATTTGTCTTGTGTTGTTAATTGTAAACATGATTGTAAGCTATTATTGCAAAAAAATAGGGTCCCACTGGGTTTCTTGCAGGTTCTTCCCAGGATAGATGTTTTTTTTCGAACCAGTGGTAAATGAAAAAGTGACTCAATAAGTATTTTCAATAAGTTATAATCTACATTGAATAAAAAAGTTTCTGTTTCTGTAGTAGATTTAATTGTACAAATAATATTTGTATATTAGCTTTATACAGCACACGTATTTTTTTAGTTTTTTCTCAATGTCTGTATTTGTAAATTAAAAATAAATTTGAATATTTGATACATTCGTTTACATTACTATTTATTGAGCCGTGGTAGCTCAGATGGTTAACGCTCGCTGTAAATATAACAGAACGCGAGTAACACGGGTTCGATCCCCGCCGGCAACAATGAAATTGTTAATTGCAATTTTAAGTGCTGATTTACCACGTGCTCGGCGGTGAAGGAAGACATCGTGAATCGGGAAACCTGCATGTCTGAAGAATAAGAAAAAAAAATATTTCGAAGACATGTGAAGTTCGCCAACACGCAGTGGGGTAGCGCGGTGGAGTGAACACTTCCTTGCCCTAAAACCCTCTCAGAAATGAGGGGAGGCCTGTGCCCAGCAGTAGGACGAATATAGGCTGTAACTTTACTTTTACTTTACTATTTATTGGTTGCCATCCCTTGTAATGGTTATATCCGTGCTTACCTGGCGTGGTTACCGCTGGGCTCCACACACAGCTCCAGCTGCCTCAGCTGCTGCCCGCACACTGCAGACGTACGACTCCACTGGAAACCAAACCACAGATTGAACCACATCTGAATCTGTTGATGATGAAAATATTAGGATTGTCATCTCGAAGCTGTATTATAGTTGTAGCACAGATGGGTCGGCTCGACCGGGGTAAGCACGTAATGTAATGTTTGGTGAGCGTAGAGAACCGGAGACTCTTTTTACTGGAGCGAGGCATTTCATTTCATTTCAATTTATTTGCTATTCTTGTTGTGTACATGTGGTTTTAATTATTAAAAAATAGTTGAAAACAAGAACCCTGCAAATATTGGCAACCATAACTTATAAAATTATTAATTAATGAATATTTACAATTATTTCTATATTATTTATTCCTATTTTCTACTCAATCACTAAAAAAACTTCTGCAACGAGTAAAAACACTTTTTCGTTAAATATGTATTAACTTCCTTTTTGAACTTTTTTGGGGCTTTTAGTGCTTCCATTACATACATACATTCTGGTATTTTATTATATATTTTTATTGACATTGCGTAGGGGCCAGTGGTTACGATACGTAATTTTGATGTAGCTGTGGAAAATTTTACTTATGGTCTTAAGTTTTTAGGGCTAAAATATTAGGGGAACCATTCGATATTATTTATAACATCGAATGGTGAGCATATTTCAGATATATATATATATATATATATATATATATATATATATATATATATATATATAGGGATGTTAATGTAAGGATATTATAATTGATAAAGTAACTTCTACAGTTTGTCATTGAGTCAACATTTGCAAGTATGCGAATACATTTTTTCTGAATGAGAAATACTTTATCAGCGTCTGTGCTGTAACAGCACCAAAGTACTACACCGTAGCCAGGCGTCTGCGTGTCCGTAGTAGGCACAGGTTGCTGTTTTCTTAGTTCTATAAGAGCGTATGTAAAACTGGATAACTTTATGACCACTTTATTGATGTGCTCCTTACAATTTAAATGTACATCTATATTTATACCCAGGAGACAGTAAGTTAACAGATTCTAAGGGAATATTTAGGTATTAGTAGATGACATGTAAGGGGCGTTTTAGTATGGTCTAAATTGCAGTTTGGTCTCCTTAAAATTGATATCGAGGTTGTGATCTTGCAGCTAACAATTTATTACATTTAAATTACAGGTTAGAAGGTGGTGTAATTCTGTGCTGTAGGGAAGAACTAATGAAATATCATCAGCCAAAATAACACGGATGATATTACATTTATTTGGAAAAACATTTACATATATTAAAAAAGCAAACATCTCAGCATAATTATGCCTGAACAAATAATCTTAAATTACTATTGAGTGATTTAAAATAATTTTTTCAGACCTTACAGTTTCAACAATTCCGGTTTGTGAGTCATTGTAGTGTATATCTACATATTATACGCGTTGATTAAGGTAAGATACGAACTATTTGTGGGCCAGATCTCTCAAACCTATATTATATAGTTTATTTAATAGGATCGAGTAAGTCTCAGTTCTCAGGGGTGACAACGCATCTGCATTTTAATTCTTTATTGAGGATAGATGTAGACTACTATGCCCCACAGCATCCACTTACCATCCGGTGGACTGTGTTTGTTGCTCATTTGTCACCCTTATTCTACAAAAAAATGAAAAAATATGGTTACCGTTTTCTTGAGCCTGGCGACGGGCGCCATATTGAGCGCGCTGATGATGGCCATCAGCGAGTTGAAGTTGCCCAGGTTGAAGCACTCACGCGCCGTCGTCACCCATTGCTCCAACACACGCGCTCGCTGTTTGCTCTTCACCGGCTGTGGAACCACAATCACCATCATCATCACCTTCACACACAAGCTACAGTCCCACTATTTACCATTCATCACTCAGTAAACCATTTCTCATTCTTTAAACAAATAAGGAAGTATCGAATACAAAGTTGTGCCTAAATCTTATATAGACAGACTCACTTGTAACGTATAAAATATTAATAAAAAAATATTATTTATTTAAACTCTAGTAGTGTACATGTACACCTAATGTCATGAATTCAAATTTATTGAAGAATAATTATTAAAAATCTTCTATGACATACAGTTATCTATATAAAATATCTAATAATTTCCTTAGTCCTCAGGGGTGTGAGATACAAGTGTGTATGGAGTATACTCGTAGCATCAACTGGGCTGTATAATATTTTTGAATTCAAGTTGTTTTATTTATCTTAAGTAGAATAAGTATTATGTTGTTAAAGTAAAAACAAATTGCTTAAAGACCTTTTTAGCCATGAGATAAAGCCAATGATTTCAAAAGGAAGGATAAGCCCATCTAAATATTTTACTCAAAACATTTTCATACAAGAAAAAGTAGCGCTTAATAAAATACAAACGTCATATCTGATTGTACCATTTGTAGTATGTAGTATCGTAATAATACTAAGCGAAAATACGATAATTTTATCTAATAAATTATTATTGTGTCCTTTTACTTTTTAATATTAACCCTACGATATCGAGAATTTCTGGGTTGTACATGAGTAGTATTTTTTAATAAAATTAGAATTTACTCCCTTTCTGGTCAGTCGCTGCTCGATTGATGCATTTATGTAGCACTCCTTGATACCACTATAATGAGGGGCTACCACGATAAAAACTCTAAGCTCTAAGCAATCGGTTTGAAAACAGAATTTCAAAATATTTTATTCAAAATTCTTTATTCAGTATCTTAAATTTAAATACATTAACTGAGCTGGAGTCTCATTTTAAGTATATCAATACCTGTGTTAGGGGAGCCCGCTCTTACACAACAATTTTAGATACATATAAAATTGCGCACAGTAAAGATTAAATTGAATGCGTGCGGTTTATGAATCAGATTTTCAGCTTGTGAGTTTCTTTTGTACTCTTTTCATTTTACCCTTATTGAATATAAAATATATTAGGTACCAATATTCAAAATTTAACTTACACTAAGTTCTTTAAAATAAAATTAAACAGAAATAAAAATAAAACCGCCAAAAAACGAAACGTATAGATAAACTAGACGCGTGACGCCAAAATCCCGGCACATGGGAAGAAAGAAACATGAAACGTCAAACGTGATATATTTTTTGAAAATAGTATACCTAATTTTCTATTCCATGTACAATATTTTTGAGGGTCTGAATCCAACCCTGGCCTAATCTTGGTAACGTAACTAAACTAACTGTAAAATAAAACTTTAAAAATGCGTTTATATAGTAATTTAATATTAACCAAATGAATATAAGGTTATTTGTCGATGATACGATATCCCATGTTCCTATTTAATCTTTGTATTGTAATTTTTGCACCCTTTTACCACGCAACTAGACATATTTATGACAGACAAATCTGTCCTGCGCGCGCACCACTGTCGACCGATTCGCGTTGGCCCTAACTGTAATTTTAGGGCCAGCCTACTGGTCCGTTTTGGTTGTTCGGTCAGCCCGGTCCCTACGCTAGTAATATATAGGTCAATGGATACAGCATGCAAGCTTTTCCGAAGTACTATATACATAGAAAACAGATTTTAAATGTCAATATGATTAATGTAATTTATATTATTCATAATGTCACTTACGAGTATGCTTTTTACTATAAATGTTTTCGTATTTTTTTCAATGAGGTTTTATAAAAGAAATGAAAGGATAATGTCTTATAATACAGGGTCATTTTTCAAAAAGGTGCCACATTTTAAACTTAAGTTCAAATTTAGAAATAATGATATACCGTTATTGCAGTTTTTATTTAAAGCTAGTTGTGCCCGCGACTTCGTTCGCATAGAATTCCTAATTTATTTTGAAGTTTTACTTTTTGAGACTATTGATTATACATACATTTTATAAATTACATCATTGTTTTAACTCATACAGTAATAGTATTGATAATTTTAGTACACGGAATAATTTCATCATTGAACCGATTAAATGCATGGAAGATTTCAACACGAAGCGTGTCGTATCCGTTCAATATTATATTTAAATGAAACTAAATAACGTAGATATGCACTAACATAATATTTAAAAAAAAATAACAATGGGTTAACAATTATTCTAATTTAGTAAGGAAGGAACGACAGTTCGTTTGCTGTGTAGTAGCGGAGTAAATTATTCCATTACTTCTCTACGTGCACCATTACACCTGTTGGTGTAGTAAGAGGCTACTATGGGAAACGCCAGAAAAATGTAACGACTTTTGATAGATGGCGCTATAAATAAATCGGTTACGTGGGAGTCAGGCATAAAATACCCAGACTGGTAATGACTGGTTATTCGCACCCAGACTTGCCAGTAAATCAAAGATACGAGATGTCTTGTATTGTGATCGTTAATTTGTCTGCAAACCGTGAAAATCGTAACAAATCACCGAAGTGGGAGAGGTCCATGTCTTGCAGTAGACTTTTACGGGCTGATGATGAAGAATAGAAGAAGAATTGATAATTTTTGGATTATAAAGTGATGCGATAAAACTCAGAGCCCTTTCAAACTTTAGAGTAACGTGACTGTCTCTGACACTTTCTACATTTCGGATCCACTCCTGCGAGTCACTTTGTTAATTATTTGTAATGAGGGTACATTAAATATATAAGTGATTGATTACCCGTGTCTTATTTACGAAATACACTACAGTAGCGACGAGGATTAAGTTGTTTTTATTTTTCGGTAAATTTACGTGGACGCATATATTAAATAATGTCGATCGGCAAAGTGAGTGAATTCAACGTCAAAACAGGAAACTGGACTTTATATGTGGAGAGACTAGAAATGTACTTTACGGTAAATGCAGTGAAAAACGAAATGTGGTTGCCCACATTAATCGCCGGTATGGGAGACGAAGCGTACGAATTATTAAGTAATTTAACAAGTCCGATTAAACCGGGAGATAAATCGTATCAAGAAGTGGTAAAAATACTTCGGGAACATCTTCAACCGAAACCCTCATTCATGGCGGAGCGATATCGTTTTCGACAAAGAAAACAGTTGAGCGGAGAAACGATTCCGCAGTATATAACCGAATTTAAGAAATTGTCGAAATACTGCGAGTTTCATTCAACTCTAGAGGACAATTTAAGGGATCAATTGGTGTGTGGGCTAAGAAGTGATGTCATCCGTCAACGATTATTCGCAGAAGATAATCTGAAATATTCCGTAGCCGTGAGAATAGCTTGCGCTTTAGAGGCGGCGGAGCGGGACTCGGCCGCGGTGGAGCAGGCGGGCGGCGGCGACGGGCTCGGTGGTAGCGGCGCGGACAGCGCCTTGCATGCGGTGACGTCATCGGCAAGCCGCGCTCGAACGCGGGAGCAGGACAGCGCACCGAGGGCTTTTAAAGGTCGAGAACATGGCGGCGGCAATGCGCTATATTGCAGCGCGTGCGGGTCGAGGTACCACCGAAGTGATGATTGCCGCTATAAGAAATTCGTGTGTGGTAAATGCAAACAGAGCGGTCATCTACGCCGGGTAAGTCCCAAACGAGGGGGGTACATGGGAAATGCGGGCTCCCGACGCCACATGTACCATGTGGAGGCGGCAGAGTGTGAGACACCGTCAGCGGACGACGAGCCACCATCCGTGGAAAGTCAAACGGAGTTACAGGAGGATCTACACCATCTATGTTTAAATAGCTATAAACCGGTGAGCCTAACATTATTATTAGACGGATTTAAACTTAATATGGAAATTGATACCGAGTCGGCAGTGTCTTGTATAAGTAAAGCGACTTATAATAAATATTTTTAAACTAGACCTATGGACAAGTTCGATCTGGTTCTAAAATTTTATGATGGAAGTCGAATCAAACCTTTAGGCATCATCAAGCCCGAAGTTAGATATGGAAATATAACAAAGCACTTAGAACTGTTTGTAATAGATGGGGGCACGACTTCATTGTTGGGTAGACAGTGGCTGTCGGAACTGCAAATTAAAATTCCGACATTCCACAGCATGGTGCTGGATGACCATTTTAGTTGTTTTCCGGCGGCTTGGGGCGGTTCGCGGGCGGCAAGGCGACGCTGCGAGTCCGGGAAGGGGCGACACTGGTGTTCTGCCGCGCACGACCTTTGCCCTACGCGCTCAAGGACCGCGTGGATGCTGAGCTGGATGCGATGCTTCGGGAGTGGGTTATTGAACCCATGGAGAGCTCTGACTGGGCTACACCTCTGGTGCCGGTATGTAAGGCGGATGGTGGGCTCCGAATTTGTGCTGACTGGTCGATAGATTTCCTTTGCCTAGGATTAATGAATGGCGCTAGAATATTCTCTAAAATCGATCTGTCACAAGCCTACAATCAGATCGAACTAGATAACTCTAAAAACCTTACCGTTATAAATAAACATAGGGGCTTATTTACGTATAACAGGCTAGTATATGGGTTGTCATCAAGTCCAGGAATTTTCCAGCGTATAATGTCAAATCTTTTTCACGATATCGAAAAGGTAGAAGTATTTTTAGACGATATAATAATAGGTTCTTCTAATGAAAGAGAGCATTTACAAATATTGGAGAAGGTGCTTAGTAGATTACATAAAAACGGAATGAAGCTGAGGAAAGACAAATGTTTATTCATGGTGGACGAGGTCAATTATTTAGGATATATTATTTCAAAAGATGGCATTAAAGTTGATCCTGACAAGGTAGCTGCTATAGTAAAAATTCCGCGCCCCAAGGACGTTTCGGACTTAAGATCATTTTTTGGATTAGTCAATTTTTACGCTAAGTTTATTAAAAATTTAAGTACTACCTTAGCCCCACTTTACGGCTTATTAAAAAAGGGTGTTACTTGGGACTGGGACAGAAGTT